CCGGGGGGGGGCTCATTCGCCCCCCCCCTCAGAACTCGAGAACGGTATATCGTAGGACCACCAAATTTTCAGAGGATGATGTACTATTAAAAATTTATCATACGTACAATTTGTATGTCGTTGTGACGTAATATGACGTCATTATGACGTCATTAATGTGATTTTATTGGCGAAAACCGTCTAGATGGGGTATTCCCTGAAAACTAAACAGTATACGACATAACTTTACCAAAAGTGTTTATGACAGAATATTAGGATGTACTAAGTCTTATGTTGCCCATAGCAACACCGGTTACGTCATAAAATGACGTCATGCATATATTACATATCCGCCATCTTGGATCATCAATCTTGAATTTTGAAAAATTAGCTTTTTTTTCAGGATGAAGCCTAAAATACATTGTAAACAGACTAAAGACATTCATATTGTAAGATAGACAACCAGTCACGGTGAACGCTCAAACTCAACTGGTTTATTCAATCTGCAACCGGCCGGTTCTAGAGCCCCTTCCCTCGAACGGTACCGGTATAGATCACCTGTTTGAACACGACGCTGGCACGTGCGCTGGCACGTGTTCGAACAGGTGACCGCGGCTCCGCCCAAGGGAGGGGATAGAACCGGCGATAATACAATGCTTAATAAAACTAACAATACACATTGTTACATTCCTCCCCCCTTACTTAAGCAGGTGCCCTCACCTACAAGCTACTCATGCTAAATACATTACGTAATCCAATCTGTTTACAAATCCATTGTTCTATTTCGCAATAGTTTCTTCTGAAATATGTAGACCCATCAATTCTCATAGACGCATTTACAACTATTGTTAACAAATGTATCTTTATCGGTATGCTTTATATAGGCGGGTCATGACTGAAATAAAGGAATCTAATTTTTTTTACAAGTCCAATACAATTATTCAAAGTTCATGTCCATAAAGCGGGTGGGCGGTCTGCTTATACGTCCCGAACGAGTCTGTTGTGATGGCGGTGTTGGGGCATCGCGTGGGGTAGGATCAGGTACGGCAACATCTGGGACGGGTGTATCACTATGTATGTCATTTGTCACAAGAAAGTCCAGGAAACCGATGTTAGGGAGTTCTGTAGGGAGTACTTTCGGATGTCCCTCTGTAGCTGACTTTGGGTTGATGTATGGTTTGAGTCGGTTGTGGTGGACGACTTGTGATACACAGTTGTTCTCTTGTTTGATCCGATAGAGGATAGGCGCCATTGCGTCATCTGGGAGTGCCTCGATAATTACGTATGGTCCGGTCCATGGCATTTGTAGTTTATGAGCGGCAGATGGGGGGTGGTGGAGCCACACACGGTCTCCTTTGTGGTACTGGTGTTGATGGATCCGTTGGGTGTTCAGGCGGTCTTGTTGCTGGTGGGCGTGTTCTAGTGACTCTCGAACGGATTTAAAGGCAGCGTGGAGCGCGTGGAGCTCGGGTGTTTGTGCCGCAAGGTGGTTAGTCGTGTCCACGGGAAGGCGCGCCTCACGCCCGTGAACCAGGAAGAATGGTGTAAAGCCCGTTGATTGGTGAACACTAGTGTTGTATGCCAATGCGACATGAGGAAGTAGGCGATCCCAGTTTTGTTCATGGCCAGTGAGACACTTCGCTAGAATGTCTTTCATAGTTCTGTTAAACCGTTCCACCTGGCCATCTCCTTGTGGATGGTACGCGGTAGTGCGGGTCTTGTTTATGTGCAGTCTGGAACATAAGTTGGAGATCAACTTCGATTCAAATTGCCGTCCTTGGTCTGAGTGGATTTGGTCCGGGACCCCGTGCTGTCCGATGTAATCAGTGAACAGTTTCTCGGCTACTGTGTTACTGTCCTGATTACGGATCGCGTAGAGGTTGACATACTTGGAGAACACGTCCGCTACAACAAGGACGTACTTATTTCCTGTCGATGAAAGGGGCATGCACGTAATGTCTGTAGCGACCACCTCAAATGGACGGTTGGCAGTGATATGTTGGAATGATGCCCGTGGCTTGGGAATAGGCGGTCGCCGTGCTTGACATGGGATACACTCGCGGCAGTAGTGGGCGACGTCAGTAGTCATGCCTGGCCAATAGAACCGCCTACGAACTCGGTGTAATGTTCGTGCAGGGCCGAAGTGTCCAGCAGTAGGGTCATCATGAAGATGTTGTAGCACTCTGGGGGCAAGATGACGAGGCAGGACTATTTGAGGTGACATTGTGGTGGATGAGTTTGGCGGTTGTCGATGGATAACTCCGTTAATCAGAAGCAAGTTGTCAAAGTCCTCCCATAAAGAGACAAGTTCACGGTTCTTCCTTTTACAGCTGTAATAGGAGGTTTAGTTGAAGGATCATCCAGCCATTTACTAATTACACTGAGATTTTTGTCGTTCTGCTGTTCCTTAAAGAAGTCCATATCAGGTGCGTCGGCGAGTTGAGATGCACAGGCATGAACGTCAGACCCGACTGACAGCGATCGTGATGAAACAGCAGCGTCGAGCTTAACCTCGGTTGTCGTGGGCGGAGACGTTACAGTGGAAGTGGTAACCTCGATGTTTGCATCATCATGGACGACTGTCGGTGATGATGTCTTCGAACAAGCCGATGAGTTCCAAAGGGCTCCATCCTGGGAAGTCACGTCAGCAGGTGTCGGGGAAGGAGGCCGGCGG